ACGTTATGTTATGTAAATATTTAAAACTTAAACATTCCCTTTTTTACTTTCCTTTTATTTAATAGTTCAGTTGTAATTTATTTTAAGTTATAAATAACTTGTCATCGAATCTATACTAATATTATAAAGCCGAAAAGTTTGATTTTGTTTGTGTTGGATAGTACATTTATCGAGGAAGGTTATAGGCTACAAAACATCACGCTACGATCATTAGGAGCCGAGCAGAGCGGGTGCAACTGCGCGGAAGTAGCTAGTTAGTAATATTGTGAGTGCTCCTTTCAATATTCTTCCTAGTACAGGCATTCAAACCTAGTGAGATCTCTGATTTTAAATTAAGTTGTTTATCTGTACTATGACCAATTTCTTATAATGAATAAGGATCTATAAATATTTAACACCCAGATAGATGGCGCTACAATCGAATATAGTCTCTGTAGTTGCCCGCTTTAGTTATTCAGAAAAATGAATTGCGACTCGTGTGGATCCCGTTTCACTGATGGTGTTCAATGTGGATTGTGCAAGAAGCACTATGATTTTCCTTGTGCCCAAATCTCGGAATCAGGCTGGAGAAAACTGGGAGTAGAAAGAAGGGCTGCTTGGAAGTGTACAGTCTGTAGGGGCCGTGCATCGCCAGCGCCAGCTACACCGACACCTGATCCACCGTCATTGGAGAATATTATGAAGGAAATTCAGGCCCTGAAGGCTCATTTGACGGGCTTGCCCACTTTAGTGGAGGATGTCAAAACCATCAAATCAGAAATCTCCGAAATGAAGACAAGCTGCGAATTTTTGTCTGGTAAGATCGACGATTTTGCAACCAAAATATCCGCTATTGAGGCTAGGGTATCGTCTTTGGAGGACTTGAATGAAACTGTGTCAATATTGCAAAGCGATGTTAAGGTGCTGAAGTTACAATCCGGTGCCAACGATCAACGCTCCAGGCTTAACAATGTGGAAATTAAAGGAGTACCTGAAAAACCTAATGAGAACTTGTTTTCTGTCATCGAGGCTATTGGAAATGCAGTGAATTTTAACATACCTAAGCCGCAAATTAACTACCTTTATCGGATCCAGGTATCAAATACTAAAGAAAAATCTATAGTGGTCAACTTTGTGAATAGGTACGTCAAGGAAGATTTTGTGGCATCGGCTCGAGCTACTAAAACTTTGACAACTACGGACGTCGGTTTTAAGAATGTTTCCAGACGCATATTTGTTAATGACCATTTGACCGCTGACATGAAATTACTATTGAATAAAACTAAATTAAGGGCAAAAGAATTCCATTTTAGCTACGTGTGGGTGAAATACTGTAAGATACACGTACGGAAAAGTGATTCTTCAAAGGTTATTATAATTAATAAGGAAGAAGATTTAAACAAAATGGTTTAGTATGTTTTTATGTTTTTGTAGTTTTAATCGTGTTGCATTGTCATAGTCTACTATCACATTGCTGGTTGCAAAGAACAACTTTAGCAGTACCGTTTGCTCGTATATACTTGAGTCATAACAACAAAACAGCGGGCCATCAAAGGCAGTTGACCACCCCTGACGCGTTCAAAGTCCGCTTGAATCTTTTACTCGTACATTTTTACATTACGCGGGTAGCCGATAATTCCGTTGTTTGTTGTAAACTTTTTATATTGCTTTTTGTTTCATATTTATTGTGTGTTGCATGTTGTAGCTTGCCTTTGGATGTCATGCTTGCTTCAAGTAATCATTACGTTGCTTATAAACTATTTGCTTTGTTTGGTGTGCTCCTGGGGATTTCGACGGAGTGTATGAATATTTGCTTTTCCTACTTCAAGGTGGACGGAAATGTTTGCTTTATAGCATTTGCGTATTGTGATTATAGACGTTCATTAACATTGATATCTAATTCAGTGAGTGGCTTAATAGTGATCAATGGCGCGGAAAAGTAGTAACATAACTGTCTATTATCAAAACGTCCGTGGTCTGCGATCCAAGACAACTATGTTTCTACGAAACTTATGCTTAAATGATTACGACTTGATAGTTCTTACTGAAACCTGGCTTTTAGATGGTATCAATAGCTCAGAATTATTTGATGACAGATATACAGTGTGGAGAAGAGATCGTGATTATGGTAGGACTGGCCAGACAAGGGGAGGGGGCGTATTAATTGCGGTACGGACTGATATTCCTGTGGTTTCACGCGAGTCATTTCATTCATCGGCAGAGGATCTGTGGGTAACATTATCAATAAAACAGGGCCGTAATATGATAACTAAAATTAACATCTGTGTGTTATATCTTTGTAGGGAAAGTCAAGGATTTTCTTTTACTGAGCAATTACAAAATTATCTACTTAAGTTGAACGATACAATTTTGAACAATCCTCAAGATAAGTTCATCGTTTTGGGCGACTTTAATCTAAGCGGTATTGACTGGCTACATACAAGCGATTCTTTTTATCTACCCTCAAACTTATCACATAACGACGAATACTTACTAGTTGATGAGATGCAGTTACACGACCTTTATCAATACAATGGAGTCTTAAATAATTATGGTAGGATTCTAGACCTTGTTTACTCGAACAACTCAGTGACCGTTATTGGCGTGGACGACCCGTTAGTACCAATTGATCCATATCACAAAGCACTATCCATAACAATTAATTTCGTACAGTTATCATTTTTACCACCTAAACCAAAGAAAAAATACCTATATAATAAGGGTGACTATACTTCTATCAATGAAGAGATCTCTAGGGTTGACTGGGTTACCGAATTTCACAAGCTTACGCTAGAGGAATCGGTGGCCTTCTTCTATACTTCTGTAAACAATCTTCGTGACAAACATATTCCCATTAAATCTGTTAATCGTAATTCTTACCCGGTTTGGTACAGTACATCATTACGTAAAGTCTTAAAAGAAAAACTAAAATATTTCAATAAATATAAAACGTATAAGCGTAAATCAGATGCAGAGACTTTTAAACTGTTGCGCGATAGGGCTCGACGACTTGAAGGGCGGTGCTACAAGCAGTATACAGAATCTATCGAAAATTCTATCGCGTCTAATCCTAAACATTTCTGGTCCTATTACAAAGCACGCTCAGGTTGTAATAATATACCCAGTAGCTTAAGGTACTCAGATAAGCTTTTAACTTCTGGCGAGTCAATATGTAACGCGTTTTCTGAGTATTTTCTGTCAACTTTCCTGAATCAGTCAATCGATTTTAGTAACTCCTCACTGAACTGTGATCCATCTGAGATAGGTCAACCCTCAGACATTGACCGTGTGGACTTCACGGTAGCAGATGTGGGAAGGCTTTTATCGGGGCTGGATCCATGTAAATCTGCTGGTCCAGACAATGTCACATCCATATTCCTTATCAAGACTAGTGATAGTATAGCCTTACCTGTATTCCTCTTATTTCAAAAATCTCTGTCTTGCTGTCGGGTGCCTCAAATTTGGAAATGTGCGTTTATTACACCTGTTCACAAAAAAGGCTCCAAAACTGATATAGTGAACTATAGACCAATATCTAAACTGTGTATCATTTCTAAAATTTTCGAAAAAGTCGTGTATACCCAGGTTTATTCTGCAATTAAACAATCCCTCAACTGCAGTCAACATGGATTCGTGAAGGGTCGTTCTACAAATTCTAACCTAATTGTTTTTAACGACTATCTATCCCAGTCCATGGATGCAGGCTTCCAGGTCGACGTGGTCTATACTGACTACAGTAAATGTTTTGACAGAATAGACCACAGTATGCTGCTTCGTAAGCTTCAAAAAATCGGTATAAGGGGTGATTTACTTAGATGGTTCTCTTCGTACATTGATAAGAGATCTCAGGCTGTCGTTATCAACAACTATATGTCTGGCTGGGTTACTATACCCAGCGGTGTTCCACAGGGCTCTCTAATTGGTCCGTTGCTGTTTTTGATATTTGTGAATGACATTGTCGATTGCTTCCACCATAGCAAAGTTATTTGCTTTGCTGATGACATGAAAATTTACACAACGATCAGGTCAGCGGCGGATGCTAAACGCCTTCAGGAAGATCTTGGTAGACTGGATGGGTATTGTTTACAAAACAAATTAGATCTTAATCCGGTAAAATGCTCTGTGGTAACCTTTAGTCGAAAGAAAAACAATGTATCCACCCAATATTACCTCAAGGGCCATCTGCTTGGTAGACTCTATTCGGTTCGTGATCTAGGTGTTGTACACGATT